ATTGGCTGTTCTCCACTATATGCTCAGAGAGGACTTTTCTGCACACAACTGTGCTAAGTTGCCTGCTGGCTCAAATACACAAAATTATTGTTACAGTCAGGGGAGACTTTTCAGCATGTAGGTCATACAGTGCCTGTGAAATGGGAGGCAATCAGGTTCAGTCCAAGGAAGAGGAGGGTAAGTCAATTGGTAAGATCAAAATTCTCCTCATCAGCATCAATGAACCTCATTTGAAGGCAGCTTTACAATAAAAGATTCTCTGCAGTAGCATCTAGACCACACATTCATGAAGTTCAGCAAAAAATGCCAAGTCGACAGGTTGTGTTCCTGTCACTGTAGCAGAATACTAATTCCGTTTCCACTTTTACAGCTGCCTCCACCATGACTTGAGGTTCTGTAGTAGATATAGTAAATCATGAGAGCCCAAATGCAAAATATGTACCTTGGAAAGTATGAAAAATACATTTGTGAGGAGAGGCCCAATAACTCACAGAAACTACTGCTGTTATTATAGCTTACAATAACATAAATGAAATGCAAGTTTTTCTTCTACGTAATACAAAAACTGCTTCAAAGCTAAATATAGCCACTTAGAGAAAGCTTTTAAATGAGCTAAAGTAAAATAAGGAGAGAAATTCTATAAAATACCACTAGTCCATACTAGACAGGGCTTTCTCAAATCCAACCTCTCCTCAGCCATATATTTGTGCAATCTGTCATCAATTTATCCAGAATTAGTTTCAACATATCTCACCTGACTCCATGTCACTATGCTCACTATATACATGCATGTCCTCTCTCCCCAGATAGATCCGTTTGTGATTTAATAAAACCCACTGTGCGTGTGAAGCATTGTCAATAAACGATTGCAGTATACTGCATTTGTGTCTTTTTCCATCTTGTAAAATAAGGTAGTAAATCTTAGCCTATTATTGTAACACCATTGTATAAAAAAAATTGAAGCAAGAACAAAAAAACAGCAGCTCACCAATTATTATTATAATAAAAAATGAAGTGTTAAACCTACAAGGTTCAGCAGCCCACCAAGCAGACTGTAGTACAGTCAAATAATCATGTTCATATTTAAATTATCTGCCAAATCATCCACAGTGCTATGTGACCCTAATGGGTTTAGCACTTGATTTTGATAATAATAATAATGCTAAATCATCCATCAATAGGAAGTGCTTTGATGACAGCAAAGGGCTCTTGATACAAGGATCTACCCACCCTTTCTGAAGATCAAACATGATTACCTCACATTCCCCAGATGTGCTATATGACCCCTGTAGGTTTAGTCCTTTCTCATAATTATAGTGGTAATAATAATAATAATCTGCTACATTAAATGAAGCTCTTAAAGCTACAAGTAGGGAATTATTATTATTATAATCAAGGGGGAAGCGCTAAACGCGGAGGATTATACAGCGCCTGGGGGGGGGGGATGTGGAAGGCATTCAGGCTTAATTTGGGGAACTGGAGCACAGATCCAATTCCCTAAATCAAGAGCCCCTCACCAACATCAAGGAACCTTCCTTGAGGGGACATGTAGGGAAGTTTGATCAAAGGAAAGGCAGCTTCAATTTCTTGAATCAAGATCCTTTCACCAGCATCAAGGCACTGACCTTTCAAGGGTGGCTAACTCAAGTCACACGAAGGAGCTGCTAGAATAAATTATTATAATCAAAAAGAAGTGCTAAGCCACATGCTGGAATAAAGCAACTTTATCTTTTAAGTGTTACATTATAATTATCAGTTTAAAAGCCAGGTGTAATTTAACTTTAAAAAAGGGTCATGACTAATGGAGAAAAAAACAAAAATTTATTGTAATTTTAGCTTAGATTTTTAATTAGTATTATCACAAATCTGAACTAAACCTTCGTTATCCGTCATTCATTGTCCAGCAAAAAGCTTATTAGTTTACTCCTCAATAATGTAGTGTGATGCTCTGCATACCACAGGACTTTCTGCTTGTACACCTAAAAGTCACCCATCTCTGTACAAACACTGTATCATGCTGAAATAAAGAATTTGAATACTAATGTATTATGTAGACAAAAATTATTTTCCCTCAAGGGGGGTTCCTTGATGCTGGTGAGGGGCTCTTGATCTAGGGAATTGGATCTGTTCTCGTTCCCTGAATTGAGCCTAAATACCTTCCATCCCCCTACCCCCACAGGCAATGTATAATCCCTATGGGTTTAGTGCTTCCCCATGATTATAATAATAAAAATGATTTATAATAAACTATCTTAATATTGTACATTATACAGTACCAAATACATTATCTTCACAACTGACAATGCAGTAATAATATTTATTTATTAATTTGAACATGATACAGTGAAGTACAAAAGAATACAGTTAAATGCAGCATGCCAAAGTCACTTGAATGCAGAGCATTACGGGCAGGCTTAAAATTAACTTGAGATTAACTAAGCAATAAAGTATTCAGTGGTACAAAAATTGTAAAACAATAAATTTAGTACAAATGAGTACAGTGGACCCCCCGGTTAACGATATTTTTTCATTCCAGAAGTATGTTCAGGTGCCAGTACTGACCGAATTTGTTCCCATAAGGAATATTGTGAAGTAGATTAGTCCATTTCAGACCCCCAAACATACACATACAAACGCACTTACATAATTACACTTACATAATTGGTCGCATTGGGAGGTGATCGTTAAGCGGGATCCACTGTATTACAAAGACAGGTTATATGATCATTTACTGTGTTGCTGTGTATTACAAAAACACCAATTGGTTTTTCATTAGTGACATAATATAAGAGTTCGGGATACAAAAATAAACATTAAAATAAATTATTTTTAATATCACACAAAAACAATCTTTGGTCTAGAGGTATTCTAACGTCTGATAATATACACATATACACGTTACAATAAAAAATTATAATTAGCATCTTTGTACAAACAAATCCTAAAATAATAAATAATAATTCATAACCCTACACACAGGGTACAACTTTGACACTACCGTGTCACTATATATATATATGCTAAAATAATAAATAAGTAACATCTTTGTACAATAATAAATTATAATCAGCTGCATTCTTCCTGTGTCTCACGACACCCTTATGATGCTCTCTGTGTCACATGACACTTGTCCGTGTTGTGACGCTCCTCAACCGTGTCACTTGACACCCTTTTCTTGTGTCACATGACACCCTTTTCTGTGTCACATGACACTCCTGCTCTCCGTGTCACATGACACCCTTTTCTCTGCGTCATACACACTATCTCTACTGTGTCACCCTTGACACCTTGTCTCTGCGTCACACACTATCACCCGCATATTGTCTTTCTTTCTTCAGAGGCCAGTCACATGACACTGTCAGTGTACACTACAATCCTATCTTCTTCAGTGTCACACGACCCCCTTTTCTTCTCGGTGTTCCACTACGATCCTATTATCTTATTTCAGTGTTACACTCCGTCATACTTCCTTCAGTGTCACACTACGATCCCAGCCCATTTCAGTGTCACACTCCAACCTTATCTTCATATAGTGTCACACTACAACAGCATCAGATGACTTGGCCCACAGTTGACTAGCGTCGGTGGCTAGTCTGTAGACCTCACCTACAATTGTACTCCTTGGCAGTCTTGTAAATACTCTCTAAGGCCAGTAGAAGTACACCGTAAGGTGGTCTGGTGAGCACTGTCTACCGCCTCCAAGACCAGTTGATATACACCGTAAGGTGGCCTGGTGAATACTACTTGCAGAACACACTATGTTGCGAGCTCACTGAATGCAGCCGTCAAGCATCTGAGGCCATCAGACTCGGTGAGCTGCGGTGAGCGCTTCTAAAGCCAGTAGAAGCCAGTAGATATACCATAAGATGGTCAGACAAATACTCTCTACTGCCAGTAGATGTGTACCGTAAGGTGTTCTGGTAATTACTGCTTCTAAGGCCGGCTCAGCAGTCCCCACATTGGGTTTGATGACGTACCCTTGGTACTGCCGGCCGGCAGGCTAACAATTTAACCGCTAGTTTGGCAGGGGGCCGTCACACTGTGTAATCAGTAGAATGGAGTATATTCTGTTAGGTAATGAAGTTAAATAGTAACAAAGTTTGATTGGGTCACAGGTTGACATTTATGAGATACAATAATGAGATACAATAATGAGATACATATATGAGATATATATATGAGATACATATATGAGATACATATATGAGATACATATATGAGATACATATATGAGATACATATTGAGATACATATATGAGATACAATTTATGAGATACAATTATTCAGTAATTAAACACATGACCAACAGAAAACTAATTTAATAAATATCTTCAAAAATTTTTCGCAATGCCTTCCTCCAGCTGGATGAATGCTCATTATTAAGTGTAGCACAACATGCTAACAATACATGACTAGCAAATATTTCATTCCTATACTGAGTGACAGTTTAATTTGTTCAAATTAAACTAACATTGCTTATCATCTTTTTTCACTTGCATTTACAATGGCTAATACCTTTATTTCATTTCGAAGAGCAAAGTCTTCCATTTTCAGCCTTTCTTTACCAAGGTCTATACAATGAAGTGTAAAATACGACTCAGGATGGACCTTGCGTACATGATTTCTAAGGGTGGTGGAATGCAAAAAACGTTTGAGACATATACTGCACTCATATTTTGCACTATCTCTATTTATACATTCTAAATCATATTCATCAAATAGTTCACCATTTTCACTATTCAGCAACATGAGTTGTAGATCTTGGTGATGCGTTTTCATATGATGGTAAATGAAATTTTCTCTAGTGTTACAGAAAATGCAATACCTATCTTCCATACTGTTACATTTCTGGCAGCCTTTAAATGATGAAGTTAATTTCTTCCTCTCACTCTCTATATAATCCATATTACTGGATGTCCCATTTTTTTCATGTGGTCAAGTAAAACACAAATTTTTTTGTAAGAATTCCCGCAGGTGTCACACACAGCCCACTTGCAGCTACACTCTCCCTCATCTTCATCACTCCCAGCATGCAAAGTTTTGGATGACATAAATAAAGAGCATCGTGGACATTTTTTGGCATCTTTTGCCTTCTTCTTAATCATTCCAGGAAGCGCAACAAAGTTTTCTGGTGTCTCATGCCCGAGCCGCCTCATGTGGTGATGAAGACCCTGAGGAGTGCGAAAATATGTATTGCACATCATACAAAGAAAATGTTTTGCACAAATACAACCCATATTTTTTTTACCTGTGCATTTGTTGACTTTTTCTCGATGTAGTGAATCCATGTGAGCCTCTGCTGCTTCTTCATCTTCAAAAGATATGTGTGGGCAATGCGGACACAAAATATAATCTAAATAGGGAAATCTGCCACAAGCAGAGCAATTTTCTTTGATAATTTTATACTTTCTCCACAATAATTTCATGTTCCAGTTGTTGTGATTATTCAGTCTGATATGCTTCCGAAGGCTTCCAAAGGTTGCAGTGGTTTTGGGACATGTAGGACACTTTAGCAAAGGACAGATGCACTCAGACACTGAGTGCTTCATTTTTTTCACTCTAGGTACTATTTTACCTGAATGAGTTTGCTGTATAATACAGTAACAGACTACCTTCCCATCTCTACTACTGTCTAATAGTTCAGCTTTCTTGTGTGGCTCTTCACTGAGGCATTCAACATTATGTCTTACAGGTTTAACAGAGGGGCACCAGTCCAGCAACAATGTATACTTATCCTTTTGGCAATTTTCAATTTCAAGTAAAACCTTTATGAACAGAAGATAGTTAATGGTACACAATTTCTCTAATATTGCACACTGAGGGCAGCTAATGGTATAGCATGCAACGGAATGAAATGGAAAGAATGAAAAAGTGGAGTAAAACTGTGGGTGGTGTGACAGTATGTGATGTAAGAGTACAAGACGTTGCTGGAATGTTTCTTTGCATTTTTTACACTCATAATGAGCACAATTGCAATTTAAAACCTTCAAGTGCTTGACTATTATATGTAAGTACTCTGAACCTGGGTCTGATAACATATTAGCATTGATTTTTAAACTGTGATCCTTAATCAAATGATCTCTTAACTTATAGTAAGAGGAGAAAGTATTTGAGCACATAAAACAATTTACCTCCAAGCAACAGGCAGAACAGTCAGCTGTCTTACTTAGATCAAAATCATTTTCTTGTGATGAAACACAATTCCCACGTTGACATGTACAGCCTGCTGAAATAAACTTCAAACATTGTTGGAAGCAGTCTTTCAAATTTATGGGATATTCACAAAATGTGTTGTTGGTAATTTGCACAGCAGCAGAGCATTCAGCGTGCAAATTTCTCTCATCTTCCTTGTTTTCTGATATGGTAATGGTAACTAATGTGTCATCTGTCTCCAGATCCACCTCTTCAATATCATTCATAATAATTTCATAAGAATTTGAATTCAGCACATCTTCACTACCAGTGCAAGAAGATAGTGCACTTTTGCTTGAACTTAAATCAGATTCTCTGTGGTGAAGATCCCTCTTTTGCACATTTGATTTCAGTGACCTTTTGGTTTCAGTAATGTTTTTCAGTAAACTGCTGTAAAGTTCCACTTTCTCAATACTACCATTTACACTCTCTTCAATCCATGGGGTTACATTATTAGATAAAGTTTTTGTCGGATCTTCACTAGAGAACACACTTCCTTCACTTAAATGCAATGAGCTATTTGCTAGTTGTGGGGAACACAAAAGGCAGTCATTTCCCCTGGGTTTCATGTTTTAAAATTTTCTCACTACATCATCTGAGGGGTTTAAATTTGTCTTTTTAAAAGTTCCCTTCAAGTTGGTGAAAAGGTTTTTTAAACCCTTTTAAAAAACACACTGAACAAAAAGAATGTCAACCTGCAGGGGCAATGTCATTGCCCTTTAAAACCCTTTATTCTCTTGAGAACTTTTTTTGGGGCCAGTAAACTTTTGTTTTTTTCCCTTTTTTTTTTGAAAGTCCTCCAAAGTGCTGCTTGGGGAAAAGGGGTTTTGGTGCCCTGTTGTTTTGCCAGTGTTCTAAAGGTATAAAATTTCCCAGAATTGAAGGGGAACAAAAAAGAAAAACAAAAATTTCCCTTTAAAAACCCCGCACAATCACTTACACCACTTCCACTTTTGCTTTCTTCACACTTACTTACTTTTACTTTCCTGTGAGCCAAGGTAAAATGATCTTGAATTTATTTTTTCTTTTTGGGAAAAGCATATGGAAAAAAACCACCGTTTGCCTCCCCACTCTATGATTGCTTTTTTTGCAAAAAAATAAGTATTTTCTTTGTGTTTCTGATAACTAAAAATGTTTTGTGTTCTGCTTGCCTTATTTCTTGCTTCCCAAAAGTTGCCCCTTTGATGAGACAATGATTTTTAATCTGAGGGGCATTTTGCACCAAAACAGAGGATTACATAAAAAATTTTTTGGGTTTGTCATTTTTCTTTCAAAGCCTCAAAATTTTCCCTTTAAAAAACTATCAAAAACTACCCACACTTTCCCAAAAGTTTATAAAAAACCCTCCACCAACTTGGTTTTTCGTCACTCATTTTTTTAAGGTGCAACTTGAAGTAAGGTTTTGTGCCCACATTAAAAAGCACCTTTTATATCCCGAAAAATTAAACAAATTATTAAATTCCGTCCCATCACGTAATGTCAAGTTTTGTTATTTTAAATTTTAAAATTTAAAGGATAGAATAAGAAAATAAAAAAGATTTTTAAAATTTAAACCCAAAAATATTTTAAACTCAAAATTCCCTTTAGGAAATTTTTAAAAATTCAAATACGTACTTTATTTCTTTTATACAGTACACAAATAATGTAGATTACAAGTAATAAAATATTGTTAGGTAGAAAAGCTACTAGCATGGGGAGCACTTCAAGCAATTAATACTAATGCTTAAAGATTACTTTAGAACTAGACACAAAATATTAATTAGGAGTTATTAAATATACAAAAAGAGAGGTAGCTAAATAAACAATAGTTCAATTTTAAAAGTGTATTAATACTTCAAACTGAATCAACGATCTTCAGTTAAATAGATTTTTTTAAGCAGTTGGCTACTACAGTATTATATTCACAACATGAAAAGGAAGAGTGAGCAATGTCTCCCAAATTATAATAATAACTAAGCACTAAACCCTAAGGGTCATATATGTTTACACTACCTCACTGTTATAAATTTAATTATGTATCTAATTATGTACGTATCTAATAATGTATGTTCAAATGTACTGCTCCATAACCTACATCAATATAGAGTAAGAATTAGTATTAGTCTGCCTGAAATGCCGAGGCATGCTAGTGGCCTTTGTAATTAATATTTTATAACACAATGTCATTGTCACTCTTTCTTCAGTATATATGGTCAATATATTGTAAGATTAGGATATGGTTGAACAAACTAGTAACAATTTTCAGGGTCTCTTGATGAAAATCACAGCTAAGAGATAATGATTAAATAAGTTTATTTAGGTACAGGTACACATAAATACACTTACACAAATTATCATATATGGTAACATGTGTAAATTACTGCCGAGGATAACCCAAAAAAGTCAGTGACTTATTTTCAATGGGGTCTAATGGAAATAAGTCACTTTGACTTTTTTTGATGGTTATCTTTTGTAATTTACACATGTTACTATGTATGATAATTTGTGTAAGTGTATTATGTATACCTGTACCTAAATAATTTTATTTGTTATAGTTTCTTTGTTGGGTTTATCAGAGCAACTGACAACATAAACCTTACTGAGCCCAACTTCTCGATGGTACAAGGAAGATTTGTTACCCAGGGATGAGCCATGACAGAAAAGGAGCAAAAGTTCCTTTGTAAATAGAGATAGAAACTTGAAGTTTCCAATTAGATCCGGTGGACGCCCTTGTCAAGCCCCAGCAGAGAGGGACGCCCACACCCCCACCTGAGTTCAGTAACCGGCTTCCCACCAAAGACCGATAAAGAATTATCCGCAGAGCGGAAAAAATGGAGGTGGCTAAAAGTAAGCCGATGTAAGTAAGTTTATCCAGGTATACACAGGTGCCTCTCCTGTAGAATGCCCGACGGGCTAAATAGATGAGGACAAGCGTCCCAGAAAGAACGGGGAAAATTTGTCACTGATACACAGGCGAGAGAGAGACGTCCACACCCGACGAAGGCTGACGCAGAAGACCGAGGTCCTTATGGCTGTGTATTGTCTTCTTGTTGTTGTTGGGTTTATAAGGGCCGCTGACAGCTAACGTTGCGCCGAGTCCTGCCTCATTAAAAAAAATCTAATTTTTTTTTTAAGTTTAATCAGTCCAGTTACACATAAATAGTTACATAAATTATCATACATAGCAGCACATGCGTAGATTAAAATATGAAAACCCAAAAATGTCAAAGTGACTTATTTCCTTTGGGGGCCCCTTGTAATAATTTTATTATTTAAAGAAAAAACGGGGAAATTGCTTAACAAATTTATTTATTTTTTTTTGGGGACATGATAAAATTTATAAAAGAAATACAGTGGTTGAGTGTACATGCCAAAAGTCCCTTGTTAGGGCAAAATTTTTTTGGGGAAAGGTTTAAAAATTAATTTAAGGTTTAAAACAAAGGGCCTGATTTTATTCTTTTGGTAAAAATTATTGTAAACAAATTACAACATGAAGTAAAAAATGAGTTTTTAAAAATTAAGGGGCTTTATATTTGTAAAATTTTTTGGGGTAATGAAATTTAAAAAAAAAAATTTCTTTTGGTAGAATCACGGGGTTCATTTAAAATGGGAATTTATTTTAGTTGTGGGGGAGTAAGGGGTTTTTTTTTTAAGAAGAGTCTTAAAATTATAAACAGAAAATATTTTTTTTATATTCCCCAGGTAATGAATTCCAATTTTTTGGGCCCCTTTTATGTGCATTGATTTTTTTAACATAGTGTGAGATGGCCACGAGGAAACATCAAAGGGGTTTCTGGGGCCTTGTTTTTAAGGGTCGGGGTTTCTGTTGAGGTTGGTAAGAAGTTTTTAGGGGAGGGTTTTTAATCGAGTTAAGTGTTTAAAAGTAGTTGTAAGTGGAATAATAATTTTGGATTTTTGTACGGTGAGTAAGGGGTTTTGGAAATTTGAATATTGGTTTGGGGTGTGGCCAGTAGTTGGGAAAATTTTTTTATCATTTTGAATGCAGCCTTTTGTTGGGTAAATTTAAAGCCCCTAAATAGTTTATTTGTTGTTGAGCCCCTGCACAAATTCCCAAGGGGGGATAGGGGGAAATAAGTGAGTGAAAAAGGGGCCAGGAGGGCTTGGGCTGTGGAAAAATAGGGCCCAGTGGCCTGGTGGGTAAAAAACCCGCTTCCCCCACAAAAAGGGTTTTGAGGGTTTGGATTCCCGGGGGGTGGAAACATTTTCGACAAAAGTTTCCCCTTTCACCTGTTACCTACACAAAAAAGGTACCCGGGTGTTTTGTCATGGTGTGGGGGTTTGCATCCTGGGGGACAAGATTAAGGACCCCCCTGGAAATAAGTTACAGGGTCGATGCGCCTGACTTTCTTGGGGTTATTCCTTTGGGGGGGCCCAAACCCCCCGGGGTTAAGAAACTGAAAGAAATCTTATCTTATTTATTATTACCGTATTTCGATAGTTTGCTAGGTCCTTTTGGAAAATTTTTTTGGAAATGTGTTTTTATATGTGTTTGAAATTTGAGTTATTATCAAGGTGGAAATTTCCCAAAAATTTTTTCCGTTTTTTCATTATTTAAAGGGACCTTTGTTGGGTTTTTTCCAAACTGTATGAAGTTGGTTTTTTTCAATGTTTTAGAAATAAGTTTGTTTTAAAAATCATCCGGTAGATATTTTTGGAATTCAGTTTTTACAAAAATTGGCTAGCATGACTTTGGGTTGGGTGGAGAGAAAACGTATGTCAAACTGCAAATTAAATGTGGGGGCTGAGTAGTTGCGAAAGCATTTGGTTTGGTCGTTTATGTAAATGAGAAAGAGAAGAGGGCCAAGGACACTTCCCTGTGGGACACCGACTGTAATTGGTTGTGTGGAAGAGTTTGCCCCATTTGTGTACACATATTGGCTTCTGTTGCTGAGGTATGACTTTAGGTAGTTGAGGGAGTGCCCTCTTATACCATAGTAGTTTAATATGTTTATTATGCACCCCATACCCATCCTGTGGGCGGTAGTCAAAAGATTACAGAGGTACATAATTGGTCCAGGGACTGGACCCCAAAGTTACGATAGCTGAACTAGTCACAAAGGTAATGAACTCCAGGTAGATCTGGTCACTAATCATGGCAAGTTACAGAGGTAATGAATCAGCTTCACTCCTATACATGGTTACAGTCATGAACAAATTACAAAGTAATTTTATGTGCAGCAAATCATGGTCAACTGTATCAAAGGTTTTACGTAAATCAATGAAGATCCCCAGTGGGACTTCTTTTTTCTCGAGTGCAGGGCATATTTGTTCTAGCATGTGTATAATAGCATCATTCGTATTTTTATTAGGCCTGAACCCCAACTGACAGGGATTGAGTATGTTGTGGGAGATGAGGTAGGAATAGATTCGCTTATGAATTAATTTTTCAAAGATTTTAGAGAGAGGGTGTAAGTTGGATATTGGCTATTTTGAGAACTGTGGGGAAGGTTGAGGATTCGATGGATTTGTTAAAGTTGTAATGATTGGTGACAGCACTTGCACTTTTTTGTGTATAAAGGGTGGTAAGGTATTTAAATCTGTCTTGTTTTTTAGTGTGTTGATAATAAGT